AGAACCATCTTTTATCTTCTATGTACAGAATCGAAGACAGGACTAGAGGTGGGGAGACCAACTATGAGGTTGTTGTAATAGATCAGGCAAGAGGCGATTAGAGTAGGGACAGTTAGGATAAAATGAGATTAAGGAAATGTTTAAGATGAAGAATACACAGGACTCATACTGTATGTGGGTGAGTCAGGGAGAGGAATGGAAAAAACAAATATAAACCTCAGTTTGATGAGAAACTAGGTAAATGGTGGTACCATTTAATGGGTGTGGGACAGGGAAGCAGACAATTTCGAATGTGTTGAGCATGAGTACATTTGGGCCATCAGATAGGGAATGCCTAGTAGACCAGCAGATATAGAGGTATGATGCTCAGTAGGGAGGCCTAGGCTATAAATAGAAATCTGGAAGTCATCAGCTTATAGATTTTACAACAGTGATTCAAATTCTGAAACTAAATGAGATTAGCCAAGGGGACTGGATTGGGTGAGAAGAGCAAAGTGCCAAAGGCTGAGCTCTGATAAAGTCTACTACTTAAGGAGGAAGAGGAGCAGTCAAAAAGAACCGTGGAAGAGATGACAGAGAAAACCTGATGAAAATAAGAGTAGGGAGAATTTCAGAAAGAGACTCAACAGTGTCCACTATGGCTGAGAAGTCAAGCAATACAAAGACTAAGAGGTGTCCATTCTCCTTGTACAGGCCACTGGGTGACACAGAAGATGGACTATTGTTATTAGTGCATACACAAATACATATATGTGTATATACATATATATGTAGGTATGTGTGTCTTCACATACATACACACACTCATTCGATCATCATAACAACATTATAGGGTAGGTACTATTATTATGCTCTTTTCAAGATGAAAAAATGGAGGCACAAAGAAGTGACAATTTGTCTAAGGTCACACAGCCAGTAAGCGGTAGAGCCAGAAATTGAAATAGGTTGAGGGCTTGAGTGGGAAGGGAAGAAGTAAAGATTGGGAGTGCACATAACTCTTTCCAGCAGTATCACTGTGATTTTCTCATACAGCTTCACCTGGGAAGATTGTCTGCATATCTGGTAAATACTACCCAAACCGCAGACTAATTCTTAAAGGGTAGCAAATGGAGAAATCCTTTTAAAAAATCCAGTGTGTTCGAACGGCAGTGGTAACAACGCAGAACTTTTTTCCCAATGTACTATGAAAACAATGCACTATTGTTGCTCCTTAAACCAAAAATTTAAGTGTAACCCTGCCTGAAGCTACTTCAAGAATCATTCCAACAAAGTTCTCCAAAAGGATCCACCAAAGTAACTAGAATCTTGAACACTGCGTTTTCAATTCTTAGTATGTCTTTATGAAGTATCTACCATGTGTATGCATTGTCTGTTTAGAGCACTGTCCATCCAGAAACATCTTTATGAAGCCAGGATATGTTAAACTGACTGGCCAATCGGCTCCACTGTGAGAAATGAGTTGATAAATTGTCAAACAAGGAGAGTTTTTTTAGTATGGGTGAAACACCACTGATTTGTGAGGAAGGAAAGAAGAAATTCCTCAATAATTTTCTTTTCATTTCCAAAAACTTTGAGGCTATTGTGTAACCACACTCATCATCTACTAGTACCTCATTATAAACCATTGTTGGATGAGAAACCGTACTAAAGTATTTGCTATTTACATGATTTACTGCTCTAGTGTATGTAAGTTCTAAATGGTATGAGTGAGAGCATGTTTATAATTAGAAAATCTATTATTAAAGAGATTTAGAAACGCAAAGTCATCTCTGTAGTAAAGAAAATACGGAAAAGGATACTTAGGTAAAATTGTTAAAATTATGATAGATCATCGATTTTTTGAAAATTTAGGAAACCATCTATTGAATTATACTTATAATTCCAGTTTTCAATTTGGTAGTCTGTTTTCTGTCTCTTCATTTAAAAAAACAAATGTTTCATTTCCAAAAAGGAATACCAATATCGTTTTCAGTTGCCTCAAGATTTTTCTTTGGCCACAATTGCCTATTTTCCGTAATTGAATTTCCCAGTGACAGTACCATGAACTTTATTGTCAGGTTGACTAGCCAAAAACACTCTCTTCTCCCCTCCCAAGATGAAGAATTTAAGGGATGTTAAACACAACTAACATGAAATTGGGAAAGACAATGACTTGTTTTTAACCACAGAAAGGCATAATAATACTTAGTTGGGCCAAAATTTTGGAAGAAAATAAGTTCTTTTCCAATATTCTGAAATGTTACATTGGCCATGTCAAAATGAGGTTACTTTGTCCCTAGGACAACCCTGATATTCCTGAGAGTCACCCCCCAAACCTCACATTCTACTAAACCTGGTCTGTTATTCCCCTAAGAGAGAGGTTATGGTGCCCTCCTCCACTGATAAGAGACACATTAGGGGCTGGAGCCCTGCACTTGGCTGCAGGTCTTATTTTAGCAGTGGACACCTGATTTTCAAAGGTTACCTTTCCCAAATTAAAGGTAGAATGAGACAGGTAATGTGAGGGCTCCCCTGTGCTGACTGCAGTTTGCTTACATAAGATCCTTTAAGTTTCTCAATAAGAAACCATACTTCCAGGTGATAAATGGGTCAAATTCACAGAATATTGAAAGTGTGGGAGGGAGGCTGGGAGAGAGGGAGGCTTGCTTTCTTTCTATTTCCAGAATGTGGTATAACTGGGATACTCACAAGATTCTGGTCTAAAGAAAGAAATAAAGCCATGAAGTGTTAGAAAAGTGTGAATATAACAACTGGGAAACACCTCTGTCATTTCTTTTTATTTTGCTACTACTAAGTATTTTTTTTGTACTTTTTTCGTTGCTTTTAACCACCTTCCTATTTGTCTTAATCTATCTCCTCTTAAATGTAAAATACTCCTAACTGCCACTGTGGTTATATGATCCAGTGATATCTGTAATAAATACTCTGATTCAAATAATTACCGTTATATTCAAGCATAATGATCCGGTGGGCATCTGCCTTATCTGAACTCTCACTCCTACCACTCACCTAGGTAGGACACATAGAGAATCTACTTGTACTGCCCTTCCTGGGTTATTACTAGGACTAGAGAAAAATTACCTCCTACATCATTTTCATTCTACAATCAGGAATCCTCACTGAACACACATGTTTCCACTCTACTCCCATTCTCCTTCTCTTGTGGCTGATAAAAGAAAGACTGAAGTTCTGGGTCTCAGGCCAAGCTACAGAGGAATGTAAAAGAACAGAATGAATATGAGAATGGGGACAAAAGAAGGGAAAACATGTGTACATGTTAGTTTTTGATGAATGAGTAATTGCTATCTAGCTTTCTTGCCTTCTAGTCTCATCTGCCTCTTTTTATGTTAGTGAAGGAGCTATCTCCTTTTTTGCTTTCTCAGTAAAAACTATCAATCTTATCTATCAGAACCTTTCTTCAGAGTCCCAAATTAGCTTCAGTTTTTGCAATAAAAGTTGGCATGAAGACTCTTTTTTTTCCCCAGAACGATATACGCCACTAGAAACAAGGTACCCCGATGTCTACATTTTTCACTCATTAAAGACAATTAATAATCCATTTTGGCTCACAGGAGCTAAATCGTCCATCAACAATTTCTTCTTCCATTTTTTAAACACTCTTGAAGATACTTGGTGAGCACACTGACTCCAGAATCAGCTGATGCTGCCTCTATCTTAATGGGTGTTCTTTGCAGGCTCATTACCTGCTTCTTCCCCCACTCCCCCCCCGCCAGGCTGCTTTGTCAATTTATATAAAGCAGCTGTTTTTCAACCAATTACTTTATATTGTTGACTACAGTACCAAGATCAATGCCAGAGACAGGTAGATTTCTGGTGGGTTGGCTCTGCATCCCGACACAGATATGACTTTTATTTTCTTCTGTTATTTTATCAGCAGCATCTTAAAACCTAGAAGGAATCCGTAGAGACCAACTGATCCATCCCCCTGTCTTCACACTGTTAAAGGATTATTTTTCACACTTGTATTTGAGGCAGTTAAGGCTCAAAGAGGTTAAGGGACTTGCTGAATATGTCTGTTAATAAAAGGCACTATATAGCCCACACCTCCATGCACTCTCATGCATGGTACTATATGCTGTTCATTATGCCCAGGAAGGACAAAGTAAAAAGGCCTGTTTCATACTGTCCGTAAGTTTCCAATCTTGAAAAATATCCCCCACCTACACATAAAACCCAAAATATTATATTCCAGTGAACAAATCTACCAGCTACCTGACCTGGATTAAATTGCACCAATTTCTTTAAACCTCAAGCTCTGTTTTCATAAAATGAAGAAAATCGAAACTGTTTCCATAGAGTTCTTTGAGGACTAAATGAGTTAACATATAGAAATCAGCCTAGCATATATAAACAGTAGCTATTATTATTCATTAAATCCTGGTGAGTTAGATATTTAAATTTCCCCAACAGCTTGAATGAGATATACTTAGGAAAAGCAAGATAAGGTACCGCTTTAAACTGCAGGTAATAAACATGAAATACTAACCTAAGGAATAGTAGAGACTAGGAACACAAGCAGCTTCATAAAGGTGTTATATAACATGGCATTAACCATTGGCTCGGACAAATAGGAAAGAAGGTTGATGAGAAATAGCTGGCTTCTGAGATTGAGCGTTAGAAATGAGAACTTTACTCTCTTATAATGTCCTTCGCAGTTATCAGATTGAGCCTAACGTGACTCCATTAGATAGCAATGCAGTTTTTCTTCCATAAACTAGAAGCAGCCGATTCAAAATCCCTGACTTCTTTAAGGAACAGGTAGGAAGGGACAGAGCTCAGAGACCTGGATGATGTTGCAGAGCAGGGGCAGAACACAGCTGCACCATGCATGTCCAATTATATATGGTTTAAGACGCGGTTTATGGATAGCAAAGATGATAAGAACAACAGAATCCTCCGTATGCTAATCATTGTTCCCACTGAAGGCCCCAGAGGCTCAGGGGAGGGGCAACCCGCCGACGCGGAGCCGTTTCTCTTACCTTCTAATGCAGTCTGTCTTGGTGTCAGTGGTGCAGCGGGTTCTTCAGCCTCACCCCCGTGCTCTAGGACTCTCTCAGCAATGTCCTGTTCACGGATAGTTGGCTCTTACTGAGACAGGACGCCAACTCAGGAACGACCTCGTCGCCATCTTGATGACGTCACTCTCTGGCTCTCCCAGCTGCAGGTGATACACTGAGCGCCTTCGTTTGTTTGAAATGCTGTCTTTATTGGCATTTAAGACACCACACCACCTGGTCATTTTTATTTGTAACCATTCTATCCAATGGACTGTGGCTGCCCAGTGCTTGTGCAAGTTTACCCAGCTGCTTTCCTTTCAGCCCCTACAAAATAAGCCCTATCCAATGACAAAGTTTTTAAATTTCTTGGTAAATGAGATTCCCTTTATTGATGGAATTTGGGTATTTCTACCTTCTACTAATGCCAGAACTGAATTATGACAACAATAATTAGACAGAATTTACAAGACTGTGTCTTTACAAGGAGACCGTTAACATTATAGCTCATCATTTTTTTAAGAAGGAAGATTCAGATTGGTTTTAACTTTGTTGGAACTCATTCACTCCTCTGCTAGTTACGCGTCCTGGTCAGAGAGCGGTGAAGTGGAGAGTCTAGGAGGTGCCTGTTGCCAACATTCAGAGTTCTGTCAACCTCTTTTTCATATCAGCTCTTCTGCGTATGGAGGAACAATTCATACTCTTGCTAAAGCTAGAAAAGTGAAGCATCTAGAGATATTGCTTTCCAATAAAGTAATAATGCTCCATTAGCTGTTTTGCTGTTACACGTTTTACCGCAGACGACTCTTCTTTAAGCTGCCTTCCCGTATGTGGCCCTGTGATAAATTTTATCAGTGGTCAGCGGGATGGGACTGCAGGCTGGGCAGGAGCACAGTGGCTTTTTATCTAGCTTAGTTCCCTCTGCCATGCCCCCCCACCCAAAGCGGCATTTTCTGGGTATAATTTATGTTGTGGCATTTCTGTCAGTAGATGTGGTGTCAGCAATTTGTGTTCCTAATGGAAGTTTACATGGAAATGAGATACTTAGCCACAGAATAAAATTAAAGATGGGATAAAACTAATAAAAATTGTAATGCAAAGTTGTTTGTGCCTGCTCATATCTTTAAAAAAAAATTTTAATGAGGATTGTCTTTAGCCAGGAAAGCTTGTTTTCCATGGCTAAAATTCTGATATAAGTAATATGAATAGAGTTAAAGCTAAAACTGTGTCAGCACTTATATTAAAAGCTTCTACATTGCACAGGCCTTATACCACTGGGATAATATTTTACATTAAAATGATATTTAAAGTTTTAGAACCCAGAATGTTTAATAAAATTCTGTGGTGTTTGTACCTTGGGAAAAAATATGTACATATGATGTATATTTTTGTAAAGTTAAAAAACTCAGCTCAGTGCAAATTTTATTGGAGAAATGATTTTCCTGAATAAATAGTCCCACTGCAGGATAGTGAGAGTATTTAGAAACAGGTGCATATTGCATTAGAAATGAAATAGAAGCATTGTTTAGACTTCTTAGCAAAAGGCCCCCGAGATAGCCCAAGCTCTGGAGTTATTTAGACTCTCAACTTCTCCATCCTAAAAAGGGGTTTTACACAAATGGGATCCTTATTCATTCTGAGGGACAGCAGACAGTGGAGGCACAGTTAGTGTTCTTCCATGCATCTACAACCTCTCTGTTCCCATCTCATTCTTTTCCTCATAGAGAACACATTCCCAAGAAGCCAAGCAGCACACAGACATCGTAATCCTCTAGACAGAGTTTCACTACATTATCATAGGAAGCTTCCTGCCATTGAATTAGCAAAAGACTTTATCACTTACATTCCCATGTGTTTCTGAAGTATTTTTTAAAATATCTTAATGGCATTTTCTGCCTTAACTAGAATTTTCTAGTTGATCCATTCATCGAATGGACTGTATCTTTGAATATTTTCTAATATTCTGAGCTGAATGTGAATGATGATTAGATTATGCACAAAGATGTTCAGAAAGGAGATTTACTTTCGTGAATGATGCCTGTATCTCTGAAACAATTTTCCTCAAGTCAAACTGGTGAGAAAGACTTGAACTCCATCAGTTGAAAAATTTCACCCTTTTCAAATGATTTAAGGACCTGTCCTTAGTAATTTTGATTAAAGGTGAATGTTCTGACACTCGGTCCCTATATCAGAGGTGTATCTACCAGTGTCCTGCTAGGATTCTGAATAGACAGCAGAGCAGCAGACACAGCTTACACATACCAAAATGCCCATATATGTATTCAGCTTTGTAAATATGCCTTTAAAAATACCTCACCGTATTTAGCCACTCCTAAATATGTATTTACACAAGTCTACACACTGTAAGTGTTTACCTGGGAGACAGGAACGGTCTCTCTGGTAAATAATATGGGTTTTATAGCCTTTCATGAAGGAATTTTTTGTTTGCTATGTAAAAAAAATCATCTCCTCTCAGTTATAATTTAATAAAATTTTCCTTTCCCTGTAAATTTACTGCAAAGCAATTGAGGTAAAGCCTTGAGATGTTAAAAAAAAAAAAAAAGACAACACTGGTGTTAGCTTTGGGTACAGAGTGGCTTTGATTCATTTTGCTAAAGACTACAGAGAGTAGAAAACATGGATATGATTTCTGAAAACCAGACAAATAAAAATAACCTGTCAGATATATTTTAGAGCTAAGGCTATCGAGTAATTACCTATTTTTTCAGGTTAAAGAAAAAAAAAAAAAAAACAGAACCTCTAGGAAGATCCAAATGATTGAAACTACTTTGCCCTGAATTTTCTAGATCACTGCTTAAATTTACACTTTATATTACATGAGTGGATGTAGGTTAAACATTTTTCAACTCATAAGCAAAACTGTGTTAAATCTAAGATATGATCAAATTCTTATAGAAAAGCAGCATTGCCCAGTACATCAGTTCAAGGACAGGAAATTTTCAGTGCATACTCTAACTTGCAAATACATGGCCTTAAGCAATTGAGTTGATCTGACTTATGATTCTGAATTTGTAAATTAGGTTGTGATCTACCCTAGACCTAATGAATGATGGATCTGTACTCAGATATTAAGTACTGAATATTAATAGCAAAAATATATCTTTTTTAAAAAGACACATTTTTCTTTTCTTTTTTTTTAATTGAAATACAAAGTGAAATAACACATGATGCTTGGAATTAAAGGGATGTCTCGTTACTTGGTAGGTTCTCACAATTTATTCACTATCCTTCTCCCCACATTTGCTCTCCCCTTATTAAGGCTTTTGAAATCAACTAACATTGAGCAACTGACGTTACCTCTTGTGAGCCATTTTAGGGTCCCAGAAATGGATATGGCTTAATTTGGAGTCCTTTACAGAATTTTTTTTTTTTTTTGTGGTACGCGGGCCTCTCACCACTGCGGCCTCTCCCCTTGCGGAGCACAGGCTCCGGACGCGCAGGCCCAGCGGCCATGGCTCACGGGCCCAGCCTCTCCGCGGCATGTGGGATCTTCCCGGCCCGGGGCACGAACCCACGTCCCGCGCATCGGCAGGCAGACTCCCAACCACTGCGCCACCAGGGGAGCCCCTTTACAGATTTTTAAAGGGAGGATCTCTCAGAAGAGATCACTATCCTCATCGGCTCACTTCCTTCTAGAAAATAAATGTGCAGGATTTCCAGCCGTTTGTCTCTGGAACCACTGAAGATTTTCCTGTCATCAGTGGACTTAGAGACCTACAAGAGAAGAACAAAAGGAGAGAAGCCCCTTATATGAATTCTAAAGACATTTAATAAATTACAGCCTTGCATTTAAAGGAGACTCCTCTTTGTTCTACATGTTTCAAAATTTTTCTCTTTCGGGATCTTTCTGTGTATGGGTACCTGTGCACAGAATGTATGAGTTTGACTTACTTATGTTGAGGAGGTGGGAAATGTGGGCATTTGGGGCAAGTCCAGATATGGAAACATTGCAGGCTTTTTTCAGGATAGAAACATACGAATTTTTTAATGGGCCCAATTATTTTACCCCCACATAAAATGCCTGTTGAAATTTGTCAGTGCAAAATAGGTGCTTACATCCCTTCCTATCTCATCTCTAAATGCAGCTTGGAAGAGATAAAGTTTATATATATAATATACATATTTTTAAAATAGGTGTGAAAACATTTACCTCTTAAATTCAGATGTTTTAAGGTACTTTTACTTTTAAGCCTTTTTCTTCCATCTATTCTCAAAATGTTGAAAGATGCATCCTGTTATTAAAGATTAAAACAATCTTTTAAAAATAAAATTATGATTTGTTTTACCTTTGAAATGTACTAGAAATTTAAATACAATGATATGCTTGATGAACATGGAACGAGGGGTTTTGCAACTAGGTCACGAATTCAGATGTGATCCAGAGAGTACTGAATACCCTACAGCTGTCTATTATGAGTATCTAAAATGAATGCAACAAATAAATATCTGATTATATTTCCATACAAATTTTATACCTACTCTGCTAATTGAAGTGGAGCATAACGTACTATTTGTGTATTCAGTTTACACTTTTGAAAATTATTCTATATCATCTTACATTTTCACAAAAGGAATAATAAATCCACTGTCATGTGAATAATGCCCACACATATGTTCCAAAGGACACAATATATTCCCCACCTTCTGAGTATGAACCAGGAAGATGTAATTCTTTCGGCTCCATTGTAGATCCTCACACACCTAGGGACATGGCAGGTGAAAAGGATCCCTCCTGTGTACAGCAAATCCATCCTGGCCCTGGTGAACGATGTTCCAGGGTACTGCAAGAGCTAACAGATGAGCAAAATCACTGACCCTCTCATTAGAATCTGAGTCTGTTAGAAGAAGCACTGCCTTCTGCCTCTTAATATCTCACAGACATTTGGGAAATACGATTTCTATTCATTTACTTCTGACCAGTCACTCTACACCTTATCCCCGCTAAGACTCAGGCACAAGTGTGGAGTGCCAGAGGAAGGACAAACACCTGCTATGCTAAAAATTGCCCCATCTCCTTGCCTGTTTTCCTGGAAACAAAGATGTGCACTTTGACTCTCTTCCCTGAGGGTTCTTTCCTGAAACTGTGACAAGATTTCAGAATTCTCAAGTTTTGCTGGAAACTGAGACCAGCATTTGTTGAGGTGAAGGGAGAGTGTGAAGGGGGCTCAGCTAGAATTAAATCACAAGCCTTCATGTGGCTGCCAAATGTAATCTTAGACATACAGTCTTTAAAATTTCTAGGTGGCAGTCCCACTCTAGTCTGTACTGTTGAATCAGTCCTGGATGTATTGTGCTTAGATCTTAATGCTACCTTGTAAGACTGCACAGCATTCAGAGAAGAGAATATAGCTTCATAGGGGAAATACAACCATATCCTATAGAGCTCAGCTAAAAACACTAGGACTGCTTAGAAAAAAACAGAGGGAATTTGAAATCCCCTTCAAATATCTCTGCTATGCAGAAGGTGCATTAGGCTTATTCTGTATGGAAGCATCATAGGATAGAGTCCGGCTGAATATATAGAAGTCTCTATGAGTTGCCCTGTCCCAAAAAGGAAGACTCACTGCCTCAACAGAATTTAGGCAGCATCCAGGCACAGGCTAGATGGCCCCTTGGAAATTTGGGTACTGACCTTTAAGCCTCTTTCCAGTACTGAAGTTGTATGAATCTACAAAACCAAACCACTTGTGGGAGGTCCAAAGGTGCTCATGGGGCAGTTTCAGGATAATGTGAGAGTCAGGCGATATGGTCAGGCCATTCAAGATGGCTGTCCTCTTGCTCTTTGTCATCCCCTAGTCGACCAGCACCTGCTTCACCTACAACCTGCCCCACCTAGTGCTTGTTCTAAGGCTTAGGCCAGACGCTTCCACCTGCTAGTTTATTAAAGGGAAACATCTGCCCTCGTGATGGTCATTAATCTGATGGGCTGTGCCCCAGCTGCTGGTTTCCTGGTAACTGATGAGCCAACCTGATGTCAATTCCCACTATAAATGGTAGTCTCCTTTCTTGAGTGGCGAAGGTTATTGTCATGTTCTGCCTGCTGTCTGCCGTACACGGTGGGGTGTTGCTCCAGGACCCATTGTTTCAGATGTGTAAGATACCCTGTCCAGTAAACCACTGACGTCTCTGTCACTGTCTCCGGGCTCTTTCTTTGCTCTCAAGGCTGGGCAAGCACAGGGCTTGGAGGTCTGTGGGGTACAGCCCAACACATACCAACTAGGCATATCCTTGTTTTGGTCTTTTCTAATCCCAGGATTTCTTTCAAGGAGGATGAATTCCCTGCAGTGAATGTGACTGTACAAAGAACATGGGTTCTACAATCAGAGATTCCCTGATTGAGAATCTTGACTCTTCCATTATGCTAGTTGTGTACATTGGAGGAAGGCAATGAACCTAAGAATCTCAGTCATAAAACTGAGGATTATTATTCCCATCTCAAAGGGTAGTTGTGAGAATAGAAAATCATCTGTATACTGCCTGGTGTATGTAGTAGGTGTTAATTGCTGCAGGTGCATAATTATATGGGACATAAATATTGTGGCCTAAAAAGCCCACTTCTAGACATCATGGGGGAGGATGCTCATATGGCAATAAGTTCTGAAGGCAGTGAGCTAGGGTGATGTGTGTCAATTACCTACTTCTTAAAAGGCTCCTTTTTCCATCAGGAATACATACATTTATGTTAATATGGAAAAGAAAAAAAAAGATCCTACTGTGGAGATTGTGCTATAAACACCTAAAATGTGGTAAATGAAATAATAATCACAGTGATGAACTTTATCAAAATTTACATGAAATGAATAATGCAAAGGCAGAGGAAATTATTCTCTACTAGCAGCAGAAATCCTCTACACAGTTCCCTCTTAATTTCAAGATTCTTCCAGTGAAGCAGAGTCTGTCTGATTATTAGTACTCTATCTTTTTAAAATCAAATCACCTAAGGACGGAAGCACTGGTCACAAGGACAGTGAGAATTGTCTGATTTCTTTGCTGAAGAAATAAATTCCCAAACTAAAAGTTTTGATTTTCCAACCAGGAGGGCAATTATTTTCACATATAAATAATTGGTGAGTTTGATCCAATTAAACTGCTGAGTTTATTAACTAGCTATTCTGTAAAATGTAACCCTCAGCTATAATTATTATGTATAATTATCTCTGTATTTAATCTACTTTCAGGTATTAAGCCTATATTTTACATGGCTAGCCCTCTGAAATTGGAATCAAAGACCTTTGATCTGGTCAGTCTTCACCACATGTATGGGGTATTTCTGTCATGAATTTGCACTTTTACCATCCCTTGAAGGACACTAACGTAGCACTGGGTTCTTTTCAGTTTTGACAGGAACATGCAATTCACACTGAATTAGTAGCATTAATTAAAATTCCTACTAAAATGATTCTGTATGCCCATGAAAGGATGAGTAGATTTGATGGAACATTCACTCCTAACTTAAATTGGTAACCTTTAATACACAGGTAAGTTAAGCAGTCTTTTCGCTGATTGGGTTCCTTCAGGCAATCTGGCTACACTATGTGACTTAATGCCGCATCCAAAGATGCCTGACTTTGAACTTGTGAATATAAAATGGGCAGTCGGGAGCGTGTGTTCCAGGAACACAGTTCTCTTGCTCTAGCACAAGCATACTTGCACACAGGAGAGGGGGCAAGTTATCTGACGGTGAAGGCTCCGGGGACAGCCCCTGGCTTCCTGCCCTACCTTCATGTGGCAGTAATTTCCCTACACAAGAGGCAGAGGGCCTCTCCTTGACACACGGTGTCTGCCTTGCCTCCCACACACAAACCCACAAGAAAGGCTGAGCCAGCAAGTATTAAGAAAGAAGTCCTGAGCTGACCACTCCAACTCTGGAGCATGAGTGGTAGCCACTGCCATGCTCATGGCAAGAGTTTCACTGCATCCAGTTGGAAGTGGGCATAATAAAATTCCTTTATCAAGAGTCCCGGTGGAGTGTTGGCAATTGAGCGCATATTCTCCCCTTGGTAGGAACAACTATGGAACAGCATGAAATCTATGCTTTGGCAGCAAGGGAGCTTGGTGCTAACATTTCTCTAAACGGAAACAAGACGGATGATTTGGCCTGATAGTTACAAATTATATGATACATTAAATCACCTCTAAAAATAAAAACAAAAGATTTGAAGAAAGGTGTGAATCTTATGAAAGGAGAAAGACGCTTAGACAAGCTTTTTGCCTGTTAAAAAAAAGTAATTTTAAAGCGTGTTGAGACGCATGAGTAGAGGAGACTAAAATATAGAATTGTGAACACCTAAGGTGTTCTAGTGTGTTTAGAATCCAAGGACTGAGGGGTCTGGACAAACTCCCACAATAATCCAGAGAGCATTTATCTGTAATCAATCAAAAATTTCTCTTATCCAGTAACTTATTACAGAGTTCAGTAAATATCAGGCACAGACCATAGGCACTAAACAAACACAAATATAAAAAGAGACCGCCCCCACAAAAATCTATTCACAGATATAAGGTATAAACCCTCTGGATAGCAACAGATAAGCACTAAAAACCAGAGAAAATTAGAAAAACTATAGGCATTAAAAAGAAAAATAAATATTCTAGAGAAACATTCAAAAATCTTTTTCAAATTTCTCAGTGTGATGCTGGGTCTTCACTTTCTTGCTGTTCTTCACCTTGTCAGATGGCTTCATTGGTCAGAGACACTGCCTCAGTTTCCTACAAGGTCAGGATCATTGTTACTTCTCTTCTTCCTAACTATTGACCCAAAGAAGACAGCCTAGAATAACACAATCACAATGCTTCCTCCCTAAGGAATGTTTTGGGATTTCTTTCCTCAGAATATTGTGCTTTCTCAAAGAACCCAAACGAGTACAGAGGACAGCTTTGCTTGTGGCCACCACTAACCTCAGTGAGCAGATCCAGAGAAAAGAAAGAAAAACAGGGCAAAGCTTCCTTTCTCTGAGTTCCCGAGACTTGGTGATAAAGCCACTTCATTACTTGTCATCTAATTCAATTTCAAGCTGTATTTGATTTGAAAAACACAACGCTTATTAGATCAAAAACCTGGAGATGATTCATAAAATACAGGACAAAGATATACAGAGTATGTATGAGCGCAGTGCAGAGTGACAAAAATAGAGCATAAAACATGTATATCTTTTCCCTAATATGCTCAAGATTTTAAAAGTAAAATGAAGAACCTGTCCATGAGGCTGAAATTGAACCACTCAAACCAGGCTCAGTGTTTATAAATGAGGAAGAGCCAAACCAATAATAATATCGTGGCATTGATTCTTTATGGTCTCAGTCACACCCACCTCATCACTTAATATATTTCTTCACCTAAAATGTGTTCAATCCTTTTTGACGGCTTGGCTCAGAGCGTAGATAGTGGAGCCAAACCATATCCCTTTGGTTGGTCTTAAGCTTGGCTGGACTTTCAATGACTTCCACACATTAAGAGCCCACTCTCACAAAAGGCTTAATATAATAATGAAGCCACCTACCTAACAAGTAATAAGAATCAGCATTTCCCGATTAGTCCTGTGAGCCAGGCACTGTGCATGGAGCCTTACCACAGTGTGTCGCTTAACCCTCACAAGATGCTGAGGTAGGTAGCATTAGCCCCATTTAACAGATAAGGGACTTGAGGCCGGGAGGTTAAGACTTTGCCAAGGTCACAGAGTTCGCAAATGGTGGGACCTTGATTCCATCCATTACATTCAAATTGCTGCAGGTTCACAGGCTGTTGTTCCGCTATACTTTGAGGCAAATTTCCTGACAAATTAGTATTGCCAC